CTCTCTCTCTCTCACTCTCTCTGCAGGGTGCATGTACCCTATAGGAAAAATTAAATATGTAAATAAACAGTGGCTGGCCCTACAGCATAGGGGTTAAAGGGGCTGGACCTCGCATGTCCAACCGCGGTATGAACCCTGGCCCTGGCAGCTGGAAAACTACGCCTGGTGTGTGTGCACGTGTGCCCGGAACCCTAACAGGACAGAGGAGTCGAGAAGGGACCACCGCGTACACGCCACACCTTCTCTCTCCATCTCTCTCCGCTGAGCATCATGTGATCCCTTGACAAACAAACAATAAATAAAGGTCACAACATTTAGAACAAAACACATGACCTAGAACGTAACAGACACTTGACCAGATACCTGCTAACGAACAAACGGGTTTTCTTACCAAGCTCCTGAGGCTCCCACATGTAAGGATCGACTCCTCCATAGCTGAAAGACTCATAGCCCTGGGTCCCTGACTCTGCTCGATCATCCCCTTCTCGTCTCAACAACTTGTTCTTCGCTTTCTTAGCCTTCTGGACAAGACCTTGAAAAATGGAACAAACAATACGAATGAGTCCATGAAGAAAATCTGGCTTAGAGTCAAGGGAAGGGGCCAGCAGGTGGCACAGTGCTTAAGGCACTGGCCTCCCACATGGCCGAACACAGTTCGAGTCCCAGACCCAGTGGCTTGAAATCATACCAGGCATGTGTGCATGCATGTCCAGCATCCCAAAAGAATGGAGGGGAAGGGAATACATTGCGGCCATTCCCCCAGGGGGTGATTTCTCACTCTCTCCTATAGCAAAAATCTCTTTAAAAAAAAAAGAAAAAAAAAAGTCAAAGGAGATCTCAAAAAACAAGAGTTGACAAAACATTGGGTTGTCAGAAGAGTTATATTTTTCTATGTAAAATGCGTCATGACTTTTCCAATGACCCAATAATTATCCTTTGCTTAAAAATGAAAGATACTTAGATCTCTAGTAACATGCAACATGTTACCAGCAGGTGGCGTAGTAGTTAGGGTGTCAGACCCCACATGGTCAACCACAGTTCCAGACCCAGATCCAGCTGTTTACAAAGCATACCAGGTGTATGTGTACGTGTGCCCAAAATACTGAGAGGAGAATGGAGGAGAAAGGTCTGAAGTATGCCATCCCTCGTGGGGGGTGATTTCTCACTTTCCTTCTCTCTGTCTCTCTCTGGTGAGCGCATGAACCCTATGACAAAAACCTAAAGAAATAAAAATAACAAGATTCGTGGGTCCCAAGTAACATATAGCACAAGCATGTAAACACAAACACGCGAGTATCACAAATACCACAGCGATACACTAACTAGTCAGTCCTAGCAGTGAATGTGATTTATGTGGCCAACTCATATGCAAATTACTGCTCCTTATGGAATTTAAGAGCTCAATTAAATAGAAACGTTAAAATCCAATTTGTGAGGAAACTGGGGTGATGGAGATGTTTCCTCCCATATCTTAATTAGGGTAGTAGTTAGATGTGTATATACGTCTTTCAAAACTTACTTAAAAACTTGTATGTATGCGACCAGCAGTTAGCGTAATGGCTATGTCGCTGGACTCCCATGTAGTTGACGGCGGTTCAAGTTCTAGACCCAGTGGCTTAAACTCACACCGGGCGCGTGTGCGTGCGTTCCCATCCCCCCTGGGAGGTGATTTCTCGCTCTCTGTCTCTCTGGCAACACTAAAACCCTATAGAAAAAAAAAAAAAAAAAAAATCTCTCTCAACAAAAAAAACTTATATCCAAACTTGGGACCAGAGGATGGCATAATGGTTATGTTGTCGGACTCTCACGTAGTTGACTGCAATTCAAGTCCTGGACCTAGTGGCTTCAAACTCACACTGGACATGCGTGACTGTGTGCCCAAAACCTCACGAGAATGAAACAAAAGAGACTGTGGTGTGGCCATACCTCTGGGAGGTGATTCCTTGCTTTCTGTCTGTCTGTCTGTCTGTCTGTCTCTCTCTCTCTCTCTCTGACAAGCACATGCACACCCTGTAGGAAAAATCTCTCTCAAAAAAAAAACAAACAAAAAGTTTATGTAAACTACACTTTAGTTAAAAGCATTTTAAAAATAAATTCTACATAGGACCAGCAGTTGGTATAATGGCTATGTCACTGGACTCCCATGTAGTCAACCGCGGTTCGAGTCCCGGACCCGGTTGCTTAACTCACACCAGGCACGTGTGCATGCGTGCCCAAGATCCGGAGAGGAGAATGGAGAAGGGATTGCGGCGTGGCCATCCCCCCTGGGGGGTGATTTCTCACTTTCAGTTTCTCTGTCTCTCTCCGTCTTTCTGGCGAGTGCACACGCCATACAGCAAAAGACTCTTCAAAAAAAAATTTCTGAAATTATATTTCAAAAATAAATTCTACAGTACCAATTTTTTACCCTAGGGCATCATGAGTAAATGCTTCTCATTCACCTCCAAGAAGGGTTTCGGCCACTCCAACATCCCGGGGCTGGGGTTCCCCGTAATGTTTAACTGGAGACAAACTTCTCTCTCCCCATGTCCAGAACACACACGGGACTAATTTACTCAGTTTCAAGAGACAGATATGCCACCTACAGCATGGCCCAAGGGGAGGCAGACGTGGTAAGAGAAGACAAGTCTTCCCTGAGTGAGGCCCTTACTGCACCAGGCACAGGGCCAAGTGCCCGCAAACACATTCTGCCAGAGGGCCCACCATGCTCCAGGCCAGGCTACCATTGAGGAAGTGACGTCGACGTGAGGAGACACCATCAGAGCTCAGAGGCAGCAGGGCTGGAAGCAGGCGTCTCAGCCGTCTGAAACAAGAGCCCTCTCTTGCAGCCAGCATGATTCACAGGCCATGGCTCTGCAGAACAGGGACCTGGTGCCTGTGCTGAGGTGAGAGGACCTCAGGCCCAGTCACAGGTGCGGTAGCTTGCCTCTCACTTTCCCTCTCCATCTTACTCACAGGAGTGCACGTGCCCTATAGCAAAATTGAAAAAACTAAAATAAGGGGACCAGCAGATAGCATAAAGGTTATGTTGCTGGATTCCCAGGTAGTCAGCTGTGGTTCAAGTCCCAGATTTGATGACTTAAAACTCCTGTGCATGACCAAAATCTCAAGAGGAGAATGGAGAAGGGACTGGCGTGGCCATCCCTCCGGGGCATAACTTCTCACTTTCTGACTCTCTGTAGCACACGTACCCTATAGCAAAAATCTGTCTTTAAAAAAATAAAGGTGGGGCCAGCAGGTGGCGGGGTAGTTAAGGTGCTGGACACTCCCACATGGCTGACCATGGTGCAAGTCCTGAATCTGGTAGTTGCTTTCTCACTTCCGCTCTCTCTCTGCCTCTTTATCTCTGATCAAATTAAAATAAATGAATGAATAAATAAAATAAATCATTCTAAAAAATAAAATAAAGAAAAAAATTTTAAATTAAATCTATACCAAAAAAGTCTCTCAAAAATAAATTAATAAATAATTTTTTAAGAACCTAGTGAACAGTTGATAGGTGGGAAAAATAATTCAGTTATAAGTGTCCTCTCATTGATAATTTTTTTTTTTTGAGAGCTTTTCGCTATAGGGCACGTGCGCTCGCCAGACAGACAGAGACAGACAGAGAGAGAGAAAGCGAGAAATCACCCCCTAGGGGGGATGGTCACGCTGCAGTCCCTTCTCCTCCATTCTCCTCTTGGGATCTTGGGCACGCACGTACATGCACCCGGCGTGAGTTTTAAGCCACCGGGTCCAGGACGCGAACCGCAGTCGACTACGTGGGAGTCCAGCGACATAGCCATCACGGTAACTGCTCATTGATAATCTTTTTTAAATAATTTTTTTTTTAGATAAATTTTTGCTATAGGGCACATATGCTCACCAGAAAGACAGAGAGAAACAGAGACAGAAAGTGAGAAATCACTCCCCGGGGGGATGGCCACGCTGCAATCCCTTCTCCTCCATTCTCCTCGGGGAATCTTGGGCACGCACACACACGTCCAGCAGGAGTTTAAGCTGCTTGGTCCGAGACTTGAACCGTGGTCAACTACGCTGGAGTCCAGCGACATAACCATTACGCCATCTACTGGTCTCAAGAATTATTTAATTTTATTTAACATTATTATTATTTCTTATATGGCACGTGCGCTCACCAGAGAGAGAGGGAAAGTGAGAAGGCAAGTTGACAGGTTCAAGACTCGAACCACAGTTAGCTATGTGGAGTCCAGCGCCTTACCCACCATGGCAGCTGCTGGCCCCCAACTCTTTGACATTCTTAAATGTTGGGTGACTGCGATCTCTTTCTGCCATCACAAGCTAGTAGAAAACATCACATTTAATACAAAATGGTACCGTTACTATTACACTTCCTAGATCAACAGCTCAGAGCTCTCATGGCGCCCAAGTGCTGCTCGTCAGCTGAGTAACATTACAAATCCCACCGCCTCTCAAAAGTGTAGGCAACAGCAGATGTGAGGTGCTGGCGGCAGGGGATGAGACTGATAAGGCTACAGACGTGTCTTTGTTAGACAGCTGAGCCAATAAGCAAATTCCTGATTATCAGTCACTCTGGGCTGGCTTTTTCCAACTGGAAAAATACAAGGACACCCTTTAAACGCATTAGTTTTTTCAATAACAGGGGAAAGGGAACAGCCTGGTGTGAACAAAGGGCCTAGCAGAGAGGAAACTGGAGTTCGCAAACGACTCATTTTTGCAAACAAGACTAAAGTGTGCCTAGGGAAACAGGCAGTCTATTCCATTTAGCAACTTTTGGAGGCATAGAAAAGCAGCCTGGCAACCTTCCCAGAATAATTAGGAGTAATTTCTTTTAAAAAAAAAAAAAAATGTTTTTTTTTTTTTTTTACAGAATTATTTCATTTAACTTTATTTATTTTTTTAACCTGACCAGAGAGAGACAGAGCAAGAGAGAAAGAGAGTGAGCGAGAGAAACTAAGAAAGCAAGCTGCCAGATCTGAGACTCAAACCATGGTCAGTCAAGTGGAATTCCAGCATCCCTAACCACCAGGCCGTCTGCCAGTCCCTCTTTTTTTTTTTTAAGAATTATTTTTTACTGTTTATTTATTTATTTATTGGAGAAGTTTTTGGTACAGGATGCGTGCGCTTGCCCGAAAGACAGAGAGAGGCAGAGAGAAAGAAAGCGAGAAATCACCCCCCCGGGGGGGGGGTGGCCACGTCACAATCCCTCAATCCCTTCTCCTCCATTCTCCTCACAGGATTTTGGGCACACACATATATTTGCCCGGCGTGAGTTTAAGCCACTGGGTTCAGGACTTGAACCGCAGTTGGCTACATGGGAGTTCAGCGACATAGCCATTATGCCAACTGCTGGTCCCTTATTTTTTATTTTTTAATTTGACCAGATAGAGACAGAAAGTGAGAAGGCAAGCAAGTCACCAGGTCCAGGACTTGAACCGTAGTTAGCTATGTGAGAGTCCAGCACCTTAACCACCACACCACCTTCCAGCCCAAATCCCATGTTTTTTACAAACACTTACAAAGCAGAAGCCAGGAATTTTTAAGCATCTTCTGTTCTACTTACCATAAATAGGCAGAACTGAAGCTAAAACAGGGTTGGGGCTCAAACCCACTGACCATTTTTATCTTTTTCTTTATTCATAATAAAGATCTGTCTGAGGGAGAGAGGAGCACCTTCCACAGGGTCTGGTCACCCTACAACCCTCTTCCTCCACTCCTCCAGCGCACTGGGTCCTCGGTGCTCATGCCTGTGCCTGGTGTGTTTTAGGCTGACCAGACCAAAGGTCTAAAACGCAATTCCCACATGGGATGTGGCTTGTCTTTTTTCTTTAACATATTTCCATTTTTAATTTTTTCTTTGTTTTTTGTTTTATTTTAAGAAAGATTTTTTGTGGGGACCAGCAGTTAGCGTAATGGCTATGTCGCTGGACTCCCATGTAGTCGACTGCAATTCGCGTCCCGGACCCGGTGGCTTAAAACTCACGCCAGGCACATGTGCGTGTGCCCAAGATCCCGAGAGGAGAATGGAGGAGAAGGGATTGCGGCGTGGCCATCCCTTCTGGGAGGTGATTTCTCACTTTCTGTCTCTCTGTCTCTGTCTGGCGAGCGCATGCGCCCTATAGTGAAAAACCTCTCCAAAAACAGAAAAGAAAGATTTTTTGCTATAGGGCATGTATTCTTGCTGGAGAAACAGAGACAGAGAGACAGCGAGAAATCACCCCCCCCCATGAGGGAACGGCCATGCTGCAATCCCTTTTCCTCCATTTTCCTCTCAGCACCCACATGCCCAGCGTTGAGTTTTAAGCATCTGGGTCCAGGACTCGAACCACGATCAACCACATATAAGTTCAGCAACATAACCATTATGCCATCTGCTGGTCTCCTGGCTTGTCTTAAGCAATGTATCACCACTACACCATGGAGCTGGCTCTCACCCTTTCTTTTTTAAATTTCCCTCAAAATCTGATACCAAGGTTCACTCCTATGGCAAAAACCTTAAAAAAATGTTTTAAAAAAGAGTAGAAAACTGAATTACTATGCTTTATAGTTTTCAGAGGTTTTTTTGTTCCCCAAGAAATTTTTGCTATAGGGTATGTGCGCTCCCCAGCAAGACAGAGAGAAGCAGAGAGATAGAAAGCAAGAAATCACTCCCCAAGGGGGATGGCCACGCCGCAGTCCCTTCTCCTCCATTCTCTTCTCGGGATCTTGGGCACGCACGCACACAAGCCCGGAATGAGTTTAAGCCACCGGGTCCAGAACTCGAACTGCAGTCAACTACATGGGAGTCTAGCAACGGAGCCATTATGCCAACTGCTGCTCCCAGCTTTCAGAGTTTTTTCACATGCATTATTACTTTAACTTTCGCTAGCCTAAAACTAGCAATATAAAATTTCCAAAAGTAAAAAGACCAAATGGAGAGGTTATCTGCTTTTGAAAAGGCTTTTCAAAGAAAAACTCTGATCTCGAGACCAGCAGATGGCATAAGGGTTACATCACTAGACTCCCATGAGGTCAACTGTGGTTCGAGTCCTGGACCCGGGGGCTTAAAAGTCACGCTGGGTGTGTGTGCGTGCATGTCCAAGATCCTGAGACGAGACTGGAGAAGGGATTGTGGTGTGGCATCCCCTCTGGGGGGTGACTTCTCACTTTCTGTCTCTCTCTGGCGAGCACACATACTTTCTAACAAAAATCTCTCCTATATAATAAATAAATAAATAAACACAACTTTGATGTCAATCTTTAAAACTTCACTTTCTGAGGCTGGCAAGTGGCATGGTGGTTAAGGCACTGGACTCCCGCATGGCCAACAGCAGTTTGTGTCCCAGACCTGGTGGCTGGCTTTCCTCATCTTCCCTCTCTCTCCGTTCAGTACACATGCCTGAAGCAAATTGGAAAATAATAAATAAAAGTTTTTAAAAACCTTTACTTCCCCAATTCCAAAACACAGAGGAAAACTGCAACATAACCAAGAATTCCTTTCTAAAGAAATGATGCTCTGTACTGAAGGAGCTGCTTAACTCAGTCTCGTAGTTCTTCCAAGGTAGGGATGAGGGCAGGGATGGAGGAAAAACCCAAGAGAATCCTTTCAAATTATTTACAAGGAACATTTCCATTCTATCTAGTATTCCTTAAATAGATTTCCGTGTCTAGGACCCCCTAGGTAACCTTAAACATTTTTCCTCCTAAAAAGAAGGGTCATCACAGGAACCTGAGAACATCTTCTGCCTTCTCTGCCCTGGTGCCACCGGACTTGGGGACAGCACAGTGTGCAACTCAGCTTGGCTGATAGGGAGACTGGGAGCTCACTGAAAATGACGGAGGCAGGCCCGAGGAAACGTACGTAATCAGACTTTGCTTGTCTTCCCTCCAGGAGGCTGAGCGCAATTCAGGGACTCTCACACCAGCGATGTTGCATGGAGAAAGCGGTCCTGAACTTACAGGTGACAGAAGACCTAGATTCCAGGCCTCACTCTCCCAGTCCCAGTGTGGCCTTGGGTAAGTCACTCGACATATCTGAGCCTTATCTGTTATCTATAAAATGACACCAATCACCTTTGTGCAGGGTTGCTGGGAAGACTTAAATAATGTACGTGTGGGGGGAAAAGACTCTAAAACTGTAAAGCGCAGTAATTCGGTGTTCCACTTTTATTTTTTTTAAGGTTTTTTGCCATAGGGCACGTGTGCTCACCAGAGACAGAGAGAGGCAGAAAGAGGGAATGTAAGAAATCACTCCCAAGGGGGAATGGCCACACCACAATCCCTCCTCCTGCAGTCTCCTCTTGGGAGTTGGGGCACACACGCACATGCGCTCAGCATGAATTTCAGCCATGTGGGGATCCTGCACCCTAACTATCACATTACCTGCTGGCCCCAGTTTTCCACTCCTGCAGCTATGGCTCTGTCCCGTCTCTACAGCCAGAAGCTACCTCACCCATCAGCACCCCCAGGAATTTGAAAACGTTGAACTATGCCAGGGTCTCGGACAGAAGTTGTAACTGCTAATGCTGTCTGCAGCTCTTTTTTCTGATCTGAAAACTGAGACATGGAGTGGGATTCCAGGGGCAAATATGTGACTACAGTGCACGTGACTGGCATGTGTGCAGGCCAAAGCCCATGTGTGACTACGCTCGGCCCCAAAAGATCACGGAGACAGTATCCAGCCCTCTGTACTGGGGTGGGTCTCGGTGCTGCCACCTGCTTTGAGAAGCAGGGTGGCTGAGTAACTAGAAAAGTGAGTTCCCGAGGAGGGGTGTCTTACTTGGGATTTAGAATTTGAAGGTCAAGAAATATAACGAATGCGACATAGGCAAAATTACCCTAGAAGATTTCTTGCCTAGGGACCAGCAGTTGGCATAATGGCTATGCCGCTGAACTCCCATGTAGCCGGCCACAGTTCAAGTCCCAGACCCGGTGGCGTAAACTCATGCCGGGCGCGTGTGCGTGCATGCCCAAGATCCCGAGAGGAGAATGGAGCAGAAGGGACCGAGGCGTGGCCATCCCCCCTGGGGGGTGATTTCTCACTTTCTGTCTGCCGGTCTTTGTCTTTCTGGCAAGTGCATGCGCCCTATAGCAAAAACCTCTCAAAAAACAAAACAAAACAAACAAAAAAAAGATTTCTTGCCCTAACTCTCTAGGATCTGAACCCTTGGAAGTTCAAAAACCAAAAACCAAGGTTTAACTTTTTGGGTTGCTTCTCCTTGCGTTTCCTCTACTGCTCTCCTTGTCCTGGGCTGCAGAGGGGAAGGCCCAGTTGGGAAGAGAGAATGGCAGGAAAGCCTAAGTGATGCATAACTCAGGGCATAACAGGCCTCTAGTTCCATCGGGAAGAAAAAGAAACCCTCTCCAAACCGTGGCTGGTAGTCGGAGAACTCGGATAATCTAAATAAGCAGCAGGTCACAGCGCTTATGTTTACATTCAAAGCTAGGCTCCCGGAGTGTCTGTAGGGGATTATTTCATCTGGGCGTGTCTGGTGCCCTCAGACTCTGAGTCAGACAGCTACTGTGAGGATTAAATGAAATTATTGGGTTGCTGGAAAAGTCATGACGTATTTTTCCATAGAAAAACAGAAAAAACACTCATGACTTTTCCGACAACCCAATATGTGGATGGGTGCCTGATGGTGGCACAGCAGTAAAACACAGTGCTCTGCGAGGACCCTGGGAAGGTTCTAGATCTGCGTCTGGAGACCTCCCTGAGAATGGCCGCCATGCATGCATGCCCATCGTCTGGGGCTGGCCAAGAGTGATCACGGCATCAGGACCCTGTTGAGGGTCTCTGTCTCTCTATCTGTCTCCTGTTCATAGAAGAAGTAAATAAATAAACCTTAGAAATGGGAAATTAAGGGGCCAGTAGGTGACATGTAGTTGAGGCGCTGGAGTCACGTGGCCAATCATAGTTCCAGTCCTGGACCTGGCAGCTTCCTTTCTCACTTTCCTTCTCAGTCTTTCTCTGTGTCTCTGGTGAACATGCATGCCCTGTAGCAAATTTAAAAATAATGATGACCAATAAAATAGTTCTTTTCAAAATATCAAATGAATACACAGGAAGACTTTGATTTAAAAAAGAAAGTTAATACACAAGAAGACTGACTAGAGCCTGGCACATGGCGCGGGTTCTAGATAGTATTCGCTACTAACATCATCAGATTCTGGTGGCACCATGGAAAATGACAAACTCTGGGACCAGCAGGTGGCGCAATAGCTACATCCCTGGGCTCCCATGTAGCTGACCACAGTTCCAGTCCCAGACCCAGCAACTTAAAACACACTGGGCACGTGTGCGTGCGTGCCCAAAATCCCGAGAAGAGAATGGAGGAGAAGGGACTGCGGCGTGGCCATCCCCCCAGGGGGTGATTTCTCACTTTGTCTCTCTCTGTGTCTCCTACGAGTACACATACCCTATAGCAAAAATCTCTCTTAAAAGAAAAAAGGAAGAAAAAGATGAGCACTGCCCCACGAATTACAGCTCTTATTCCCAACCTGGGAGGTAAGCAGAAACTCGGCCCCTTACTTTTAATCTGCCCTCGGACGTCCCGGTCTTCGCCCGAGTGCTCCTCCTCGTAGTGTGACTGAAGCTGGTAGAAAGACTGCAGGTCCTTCAGGCACAGAGGGCACAGGAAGCCCTCCCTCACTTCCCCCGGGTCGTCCAGGGAAGCCATGGCGGCGTCCTCTCACCCCCAGGAAGGCAGGGCGCTCATGCCAGAGTCAGCTCGATTCCTCCCAGAGGCTCCCGCAGTGATGGGGAAGTGGCATCATGGCCCTGGGTGACGGTTCCTCCGGGAGTGGGAGGAGCTCTAAGAAAAGAAAGAAGAAAGGAAAACGCCAATTCAGGCAAATCGGCAACAACTGAGATCTGCTTGTTCTTCTGCAGGTCAACGAGGGTACATGATGTTTGTGCAGTGCGGATTTGAGCTCAACAAACCGTCTCTCAAACCTCAGATCCAATCAGTAAACCCAAGACGTGAGAACATCACTGGCCACCCGCAATCCCATGCAGTGGGAAACACATATCCCTGAAGATAAGCCACAGGACACCCAGGCAATTCTCTTTTTTCTTTACATACTGAAGATTTTTTTTTTTAGAGGTTTTCGCTATAGGGCGCGTGCGCTCGCCAGACAGACAGAGACAGAGAGACAGAAAGTGAGAAATCAACCCCAGGGGGGATGGCCACGCCGCAATCCCTTCTCCTCCGTTCTCCTCTCGGGATCTTGGGCACGCACGCACACGCGCCCGGCGTGAGTTTTAAGCCACCAGGTCCGGGACGTGAACCACGGTCGACTACGTGGGAGTCCAGCGACATAGCCATTATGCTAATTGCTGGTTCCCCCGAAGATATTTTTTCAGAACTATTTTTATTTAACTTTATTTATTTACTTATTTCAATTTGACCAGAGAGGGACAGAGCAAGAGAGAGAAAGAGAGAAAGAAACCGCCAGATCCAGGACTCGAACCACAGTTGGCCACGTGGGAGTCCAGCACCTTTAATCACCACGCCACCTGCCAGCCCCGCCAGGCAATTCTCTTCTACTCGTTCCATGTGCTCTGCATGCCACTTCAGCCACTAGGGAAATGTCTCGAGTATTTATGAACAAGCAATTTTTATTCAACCACATACATGAATTTCTAATGCTTGTGAGGCACCTGGGCTAAAATGGGAACATACGAAAAGATAAAGCATCCATAACTTAAAAAAAAAAAAATAGGGTCAGCAGGTGGTGCAGTGGTTAAGGTGCCAGAGACCCACCTGGGTGACTGTGGTTCAAGTCCCAGGCCCAGCAGCTTGAGACACGCTGGGTACATGTGTGGACATGCTCCAAGTCCTGAGAGGAGAATAAAGAGACTGCAGTGTGGCCATCCTCCTTGGGGAGTGATTTCTCACTGACTCTGTGTCTCTGGCAAGTACATGTGCCATATAGCAAAACTCTCTCTTTAAAAAAAATGTTAAAAGTGGGGCCAGCAGGTGGCGTGGTGATTAAGGGCGCTGGACTCCCATGTGGCTGATGGCGATTCGAGTCCTGAACCTGGTGGCTTGTGTTCTCACTTTCCCTCTTTCTCTCATTGTCCCTCTCTGGTCAAATTAAAATAAATAAAGTTAAAATAACTCTTAAAAATTTTTTTAAAAGCAAAAACTAAATCAAAACAAAAACCTCAACATCAGTCTAAAAAAAAAATTAGAAACTGAGCAGTCAAAAAAAAAAAAAAGCCTCTTTTGCATTTTATATTTGTAGAGCACCTTTTTCTAGGGAGCTTACTAGCTTATATAAACCAGTAAATGACAGTTGAGCAGCAAACCTAATGTTCTTACCGCTTCAAAAATAAAAGGATTTGGTGTTGCAACATTTCAGTTTAACGCATTACATTTTCTGACTCACAATGTCACCCGAGAAAGACTCCCGGGCACAAGAAGGATCTGGAGAAAGTCATTCCACACGAGCAGAGGAATCTCTCCTGGAGGAATCCGGGCCACATGCCCGGTACAGAGAGAGGGGAAAGTGTGACCCCAAGGTTAGAATGGGCTATAGAGGGCCACTAGGAGAGGACCGCCAGTCCTCAAAGCCAAAGGGTGGCCCCAACTCAGAACATAAACAAAAGCCATACCGGGTCTCTGTCCCCCCTCTAGTGCAGACACCCGACCACTCCGTATTGCACACCCCAGGCCCTATTTCAGACCCGAACGCAGGTGGCCACAGAAACAGCAACTGCACATCTGACTCTGCAGCCTCTGCAGCCAGGGATTCACCTGCCGTCCCTCCCCTCCCGAGCACTCACCAGTCAAACACCAAGCCCACACTGCCCAGCCGCACACCCGCCCTCCCATGTCCAACCTCCTTCAGGGCCCCCTCTCCACTTCTAACCGCCTGTGTGAAGTGACTGAACAATGTAAGACTGCTCCATCTGGGGCCAGCAGGTGGCGCAGTGGCCCAAAACTGGTGGCGTGAAACTCAAGCGAGGAGAGTGTGTGCAGGAGTGTGCGCCCAAAATCCCCAGAGGAGAGTGGAGGAGGAGGGATTGCAGCGTGGCCATTCCCCCCAGGGGTGATTTCTCACTTTCTCTCTGTCTCTTTTTCTCCAGAGTGTATGCATCCTATAGCAAAAAATTTAAAAAAAAAAAGGACTGCATGGTTTGTCCCATCACCCCATGCCCGGGTCAAGCACACTGCCTGGCACACACAGGAAGCACAATAAGGCTCCAGATAATGAATGAACTCCAATCCACACTTCCACCTAAGGAAAGCGACCACAAAGCACCACACAAGTCAGGGTGCGGACCCCCAGCCATCACTGAGTACAGTAGCAACCCCTTCACCCTAAGCCACGGAAAAAATAAAAACTACAGGGGCCAGCAGGTAGTGAGGGGGTAAAGGCACTGGACTCCCCCATGGCCCACCACAGTTCAAGTCCCGGACCTGGTGGTTTGCTTTCTCACCTTTACTTTCTGTCTCTCTCTGGTTAAATTAAACAATAACAGGAGCAAGGACCAGCAGATGGCATAATGGTCCCATTACTAGACTCCCGTGTAGTCGACCACGGTTCGAGTCTTGGACCCGGTGGTTTACAACTCACGCCAGTTGTGTGTGTGTGTGTGTGTGTGTGTGTGTGAGTGTGCCCAAGATTCGGAAGGAAGAATGGAGGCGAGACTGTGGCATAGCCATTGCCCCTAGGAGGTGATTTCTCACTTTCTGCCTCTCTGGCAAGTGCACACGCACACCCTATAGCAAAAATCTCTTTAAAAAATAATAAAACATGGCCAGCAGGTGGCATGGTGGTTGAGGGCGCTGGACTCCCACATGGAGAACGACGGTTCAAGTCCTGGACCTGGCAGCTTACGGCTTGCTTTCTTACTTTCCCTCTCTCTGCTCCTCTCTGATCAAATTAAAGACAAATAAAATAAATCTTTTAAAAAAATACTCTTAAAAATGAAGAAAATAATAACAAATAAAATGCAATAAATAGTTCTTTGAAAAAGCAAACCTGAGGGAACCAGCAGTTGGCATAATGGCTATGTCACTGGACTCCCACGTAGGCGACCGCGGTTCGCGTCCCGGACCCGGTGGCTTAAAACTCACGCCGGGCGCGTGTGCGTGCGTGCCCAAGATCCCGAGAGGAGAATGGAGGAGAAGGGGTTGTGGCGTGGCCATCCCCCCTGGGGGGTGATTTCTCGCTTTCTGTCTCTCTGTCTCTCTCTCTCTGTCTGGCGAGCGCACTGCGCCCTATAGCGAAAACCTCTAAAACAAGAAAAAAAGAAAAACCAACCTGAAACTCCTTGCCCTGCGCCCCACGTCCAGCCTGAAGGCCGCCTCCCCGCGGCACCCGCGCACACCGCAGGCGCCCGGCCGGGACCACTCACGACCACGACGCCAGGCCCCAGGGAGCAGCCGTGCGCCTCACGCCCCGCACAGGCGACACCGAAACCCGGCCGGGCGCCACCCAGGACGCACACCCCACCCCGCTGTGCGCGCCTGCGGGGCGACACGGCCACACCGCGCCACCGCACGGCACACTCCCAACCACACTCCCCACGCGGCCAGAGGGGACCCCGCCTCCGCCCCCCACGCCCGGCGCGGCGCCCGGTACCTGG